GGCTGTGACTCCAGAACTCTCCTTGCCTGTGGCCGGTAAGAATCGTCCTCCATTCTTTCGTGCCTCGGTTGGGCGAGATATGAACCCATCTCCTTCAGTTACATAATGAATTAAAGGTACAAGGTCAGAGGTGTTCACGTTAGTGTGTGTGTGTAATCAGAGGTGTACAGGTCAGTGTGTGTGTGTGTAATCAGAGGTGTTCACGTCAGTGTGTGTGTAATCAGAGGTGTACAGGTCAGTGTGTGTGTGTGTAATCAGAGGTGTACACATCAGTGTGTGTGTAATCAGAGGTGTTCACGTCAGTGTGTGTGTGTAATCAGAGGTGTTCACATCAGTGTGTGTGTAATCAGAGGTGTTCACATCAGTGTGTGTGTAATCAGAGGTGTACAGGTCAGGGTGTGTGTGTAATCAGAGGTGTTCACGTCAGTGTGTGTGTGTAATCAGAGGTGTACAGGTCAGTGTGTGTGTGTAATCAGAGGTGTACAGGTCAGTGTGTGTGTAATCAGAGGTGTTCACGTCAGTGTGTGTGTAATCAGAGGTGTACACGTCAGTGTGTGTGTAATCAGAGGTGTACACGTCAGTGTGTGTGTAATCAGAGGTGTACACGTCAGTGTGTGTGTAATCAGAGGTGTTCACGTCAGTGTGTGTGGTCAGAGGTGTACAGGTCAGTGTGTGTGGTCAGAGGACAATTTCCCAGAGTTGATTCTCTACCTCCAGCTTACCTGTGTCCCAGGAGCACTGTCAGGCTGCTAGGGTTGGCGACAAACGCCTTCCCCTGCTAACCCATCTTCCTGGCTGGCCCGGCTGACAGTTATCTACAGATATGTGCAACTCTGTAATACTCAGAGAAAACGCAATAACAGCAAGGAGATGTCAGCTCACATCCATCCTGACGACCCACAGGAAAGGAAGCAGTGACATCAGCAAAGGAGAGGAGGGCAGCCAGTGAGATGTGCTGGGGCTGAGCACTGACTGATGCTGACGCTCAGACTGTGAGCCTTGGGCTGTCAAAGAGCCCGTCTCCTTGCACAGAAGGAATGTGTGCACAGGCTGGTACCCATCTAGTGTCTCCACTGTGGAAACAGTAGTGATCACAGGGCAGAATAAATCCACCACTCCCTCGAAGAATGTCAGCAGCTCCTAATGCTGGCTAATCTGCTCTCGGCCAGAGGCAAATGCTTCCCTGAGTGTAGATTTACACTCTAAACACGGAGTAGGGTGCCCACACTGGCTGGATAACTATTAATTCATTGCCCTCCAGGGACGTTTCTCCATGTGTCCCCTTGATGATGAGTGTGTTACACATTAATACAGTGAAAACTGAACAGGTGACCACTGGTGAGAAACCAGCACCAGGTAATGGACAAGGCCGTACAAACATTTATTTTGAATGAGGAGCCTTTCCGCAGGCAGCCACCAGATGCCAAAATCCAACAGGGATTTGGAGACTGCGCAAAACATAACAGAATAAAAGGTTCCAGCTATCCTGGAGGGAGTCGCCCGTTGGGAACACAAACAAAGCTGTGTTAAATGTCTTGTTGTACGGCTTTGTTTTAGGCAACAAAGACAACAGAGTGCGGGCTGCTCCACAGACAGCTATCTCACAGGCCACGAAGAATACTTCTTGATGAACAAAGCCTCTCTGCCACTTAGTAACTCTAAGAGGAGGAACACATGGAACCCAAGATTGGCATCTCAAGCACATAGATAACACATGGGGAGAATTTTTAGGTGTGAATGTTACTTACTATAATGGAGCAAAATAAACATACAAGAGGTAGGCTAATCTAAATGTTACACAGACAATACATCATTTTAAAGCTAAAATTATAGAATGTGGTATCATTTATGGACAGGGATATTTTAAGATTTATTTTTATGTGTATAAATGTTTTGTCTGTGTGTGTGTGTGTGCTCCATGTGTGTGTAGTACCTGTGGAGGCCAGAAGAGGGGGTCAGAGCCCTTAGAATTGGAATTATAGGTGGTTGTGGGTGCTGGAAACCAAACCCAGGTCCTCTGCAGGAGCAGTCAGTGTTCTGCACTGATGAGCCATCTCGCCAGCCCTGGACACTGGACTGACTCTCCACTGGGATTTGAAGTGAACAGATCATCAGATTCTGAGTTCACGGCTGAGTTGAAGACTCCAGCAGGGGAGTCTGAAGGCATGCGTTGGGTGCATCTCTTAGTTCAGAAAAGTTTGGCTGGAGATAAAGTGTAGGAAGGTGACGACTAAAGCCACACGGTGGCTACATGTAGAAAGACGACGTGATGGCCACTCTTGGAACTGCCTAGGAGACCACCCACAGGCGTGTTCAGCAGGGTGTTTAACTAAGGACCCAGCCTGAATGTGGGTAGCATTGTTCCCTGGACTGGCAGCTCAAAATTAATAAAAAGAGAGCAAGCTGAGCACCAAGAGACACCTCTGTCTGCTTCCCACTGCCACTGCGGTGTGACCAGCCGCCTCATGCTCCTGCCACCATACCTCCCCTGCCACGGTGGACTGCACACCCAAACCATGAGCCAGAAGAACCTATTTTTCCTTAAGTTGCTTTTGACAATTATGTTGTCACGGCAGTGAGAAAAACAACTAATACAGGCTCTTCCTGAGCCGCAGGGACTCCATGTTGTCCGGTGAGTGAAGAAGCGAATGGAAAAGGCTGGTGGGGGAGGGGAGGTGTCGTCTAAAAAGCACAGGAATTATGGTGACCACGGCAAGGGTTGTTCATTGGAGTGGTTGACATGAAAGCTGAACCCGAGGGTTTATGGAGGGAATCTCAGCCAAGGATTTGGACAGAGAAAATATAAGACCAACAGAACGGAAGCTGGAGAAGGAAGAGAACAGACATGGTTCCTAGAGGGTGTAAGATTCCCAGAGGCCTTTGCGGGAGGCGCTGGTGTCAGGTGACTGTGGATTGGTTTATTGGTGAAGGAGAGGGGTGAGACTATGCAACTGTGTTGTGGGAAACATCTACAGAGAAGGTAAAACCACCAGAGAATATTAATAACATCCCTGAGGTAAAACTTGGGGTGTGAGAATGCAGATACACAGGTAGGGGGACGCCAAGTGCGTGGCCTCTGTTAGAAAGAGGGGAGAAAAGCAGAACAAGCACTCGGGGATCAAAACTGTTTGAGAAGAGAGAACTGGATTTCAGTTCCCAGCACCCACACTGGGTGGTGCAGAACCTCCTGTGACTTCACTCAGGGGATCTGCTGCCCTCTTCTGGGCTCTGAGGGTACTACATGTGCACACTTTAATGAACTGAGAAAGGATAATGGGACCGGATAAAATTCTCAGAGAAACCCTGTCTCGAAAAACCAAAAAAAAAAAAAAAAAATTCTCATCCACTCAGTTCCGTTTGTCCAATGAAACGGGAAGCCAGAGTATCAGCTGAGAGCAAGAAAGGGAAAGGCTTGAGGATAAAGTGGGTAAAGGAGATTCTGGAGCAATGTGGGCAGCAGGCCAGCAGCAGCTCTCAGAATCTAGAGGAAACCCTTGCCCACTCCCCGGCAGTGATTGCAGCCTGCTCCACTGTGCCTGCATCCAGCTGCTCTGAATAGCCAGGTGTACGTGAGTGGTGCGGGGAAAAAAAAGAAAAGAAAGAAAGAGAGTAGCCTGGGAGGCAGAGACAGATGGATCTCTATGAGTTCAAAGATAGCCTGGTTTACAGAGGGAATTCCAGGACAAAGATATACAGAGAACCTGTCTCAAAAAGCCAAAAGTTAAAACTAAAAATAAAAGAAATAGAGGTTTAAATAAAGCCACGTAAAGATGGAAAATACACAGAAAATCTTGATACTGTATGTTATTATGCTCTCTTTGAATTGTTTGAGTGTTGAGGAAGGAGCAACAGTTGCTAAAAGATATTTGCTTATAAATGCTGCAGATAGGTATTTTGAAAATACCTTGGCTTCAAAATTGAAGTCAAAAGGTATGTTACTTTGGAGAAGAGATTTTGCTTTTGTTTCCACAGAAAATGAGAGGCTGTGGATTTATTCAGAGTTAAGAAAAATCAACTTTGATCAAGGAAGACCACCTGAGAAGTCTCCGGTAGGAATAGATGGCCCAGATGTCTGAATTCTTCATCCAGAACAAATTAAAGGCTGCTGCCTGAGATGATCAAGACTCACAGGATACTTCAGTCGGGACTTGATCATAACTCTAAATTTTCTTTAGGTCCCCATAAGATTATCAGCGCCCCCAACCAGCTGGAAGTAGCCTGAAATAACATGGGAAAACCAGACAGGAAGTAGAAATGATGTAATGAGAACATGAGAATTCTGGGAAGGAGGAAGTTGATTCCTCCCACTCCTGCCCAGACCACGGAAGCAGCAGGATATGAGCTGCCCCACTGAAAAAAGGTACTGAGCCACATGGCTAACATAAATCAGAAAAATGGGTTAATCAAGACGTGAGAGTTAGCCAGTGAGAGGCTAGAGCTAATGGGCCAATCAGCTTTATAACTTATAGAGATCTATGTGTGATTTTCTTTGGGACTAAACAGTTGTGGGGTACTAGGCGGGACAAAAACAACAATAGGCCCGGCCCCCATTCATGTTACATGTGAGGAGACAGTTTTCTGTGCTACTGCCACGATAGAATTTAGAATCTATCAGGAATGGAAAGAGAAAAAAAAACCCAGAAGCTAGAAAAGAGTGATTGATTGACTCACAGACAGAGCAGCGAGCACCATGTAGACTAGAAGCACCTGGGGAGGATGATTGTGATGATATACATAGCAGAATCATTTGCAAGGAAGGGAACCTGTGAATGAGCTGGCTGCTTGCACAGCTGGTTGCTGTGGTGGTAAGGTACCGACAGGTCCACAGAGCAGCGATGGACAGATGAGACAGGGTGGATGATACACTGGAGTGCTGAGAAGGAGGAAGAGAGCGCGTCTCATGGAAGGCACCTTTACTTAATCTCTTCCGATTTTACATTAGTCTGTGACATTCTGAATACCTGTATCATTTGTGTGACAATTTAGATGCAGATCTGTACCTGTATTTTCATCCACATGCGTCTGGCGGCCAGGACTCTGTTCTCTGCGTCTTATTCTCATTTAGTTCTTCGTTGCCCCTAGGAATGAGGTGGTAGCACACACTGGTCAGTTAGTGTGCTGTGCTTGGCCGCAATTCAGTCAAGTGTTAGCCCCATGCACGGAGGCTCGCTCTCCCGGTCCTAAGATGGATTGTGATGGATCTAGACACTTCAAATGTGTGCCACAGGCACAGAGGCTCACTCTCCCAGTTCTAAGACAAATTGTAATCGATCTAGACACTTCAAATGTGTTTCACGTGGAGGTCACTCTCCCGGTCCTAAGACGGATTATGATGGGTCTAGACACTGTCAAGTGTGTTCCATAAGGAGGCTTGCTCTCCCAGTCCTAAAATGGATTGTGATGGATCTAGACACTTCAAGTGTGTTTCACGTGGAGGCTCACTCTCCCAGTCCTAAGATGGATTGTGAAGGGTCTATACACTGTCAGAAAGTCTGCTGACAGAGAAAGGATACGGAAGTAAAATCTCAGGCTAATTTGTATATCATCTTATCGCTATGGGAAAAAAATGATACTCATCGTTAATTTAAATAAAAAGCCTTAAGTCAGGGCTGGGAAGACAGCTCCTTGGGTAAGGCAAGCAGCAACTGTACAGGTGTGAGTTTGGCCTGAAGAACTCCCTGGAAGTGTTTAGGAAGTTCCTTTTTACACCTTACTGAGCCTTTTTCTCCTCTGCATTTATATTATTCAGATGCAATTCTTTTACTGTTACCACTAAAATGTAAAATCTGTGTTTGCACACACTCTGATCTCAGATACTAGCTCAGTGGATGAATGAATGGACAGAAAATAAAACATGTCACAAGCTTTAAAAACAAAATGAAGGCAACAACAACAAAAGAATTCCTAAATGTAGATTTCCAGTTAATTCAGAATTCTTTAAATTAATTGTTCATATATTTTTTTAATTATTTTCTGTGTGGCCACATGCATAGCATAGCCCCAGAATTCTTTAACTTCCTCTTGGGGACATCAAGCTTCAACACTAAGCTAAGTACACATCGATGGCTGGCTAACATCGGGTAAGCAATAGTACTGGTGAGTGCCAAGACTAATCCTTGTGTGGCTACTGGGAACCCGGATGTCAATGAGAAGCTCCATGTGGTAACAGGTAAACTGAGACATCAAGAAAAACCACTTCTTCATCTCCTCAGCATAGGGAAGGCTCTGGAGTTCCCAACTTACTCAAAGTCCATGATTTAGTGGGTTATTGGTTTGTGAGAGTGTGGTTGCCTCATGCAAGGACTAAACCTTCTTGAAGAAACAGGGACAATTGGGTGAAGTGAGGTAGTATCCTTTTTCAGTGGACTTGGACCCTGGGAAGATTAAAAATGTAGGACTATGATGGTAATAATAATAACAGCAACAACAATAATGATAATATAGAGGCCTGACACCTGGTTTTCACTTGTCCCTCAGGAGGCTAGTGCCTCCCTTGAGGCCCTGAAGTGCAAGTGCTGTCCCATGATTCCCTGTTCCAGGGTGGTGTCACCAGGTGTGATCATAGGGTGGCCTCTTTCTGTTCTCTCACCTAGGAGATGTGTGTATTTTCTACCTCACAGGTTTTGAGATTAAGAAGACCTGCATGCCTTAGAAACATCTTGAAGAAGTCTATGCTGGGGGTGGGTTCTGGAACACATGGGGATCCCTAACCTCGAGCCTGCTGAGCTCAGGGACACACAACTATGGCATTCACATATATCGAAGGGCAATCGAACTCAGGGACAGACACTATGGCATTCACATATATCGAAGGGCAATCGAACTCAGGGACAGACACTATGGCATTCACATATATCGAAGGGCAACCCAGCTGCAAACGTTTGAGTTTCTTATGATTTCCACACAGAGATCTTGAAAATCCTAGTCATTCTTCAACAGAACTTCAAAGTTGACATAATCAGATTCCGTAGGGGCAACCAGCCGAGGCCCAGCCCAGCCCCGCAGAATTCCAGATCATCAGAAGCAGGTGCCATCCACAGACCCTGCCTCCTAAGCCCTCTGTGCCCTGAACCTCAATTGTTTTGATTGAGAAAAAGGAGGGGTTTAACACCTTCATTGTCTACCGCTAAATAATTCACCATAGGAATATATAATCTGTCTGTCTGTGTGTTTTGAGGTGGGATCTTTAACCCAGACTGGTCGGGGTTTAACACCTTCATTGTCTACCGCTAAATAACTCACCATAGGAATATATAATCTGTCTGTCTGTGTGTTTTGAGGTGGGATCTTTAACCCAGACTGGTCGGGGTTTAACACCTTCATTGTCTACCGCTAAATAATTCACCATAGGAATATATAATCTGTCTGTCTGTGTGTTTTGAGGTGGGATCTTTAACCCAGACTGGTCGGGGTTTAACACCTTCATTGTCTACCGCTAAATAATTCACCATAGGAATATATAATCTGTCTGTCTGTGTGTTTTGAGGTGGGTGGGATCTTTAACCCAGACTGGTCTCCAGCTCCCCTTGTAGCTGAAGATGACCTTGAACTTCCAACCCTCCTGAGTTCTGGAATCACAGGTGTGTGCCACCGCCTATACAGTTTACCCAACATCCGTGACTGAACCTGGGGCTCTGTGTGCACTAGGCGGGTGCTGCTGACTGAGCTATGTTCCCAGCCTCATGATCATTTCAGCAAAAAACTCATCAAACTGCAGGTGACTCCTTAGCTACGGCAGTCACAGGACCTAATGCTGTGTTTTCCCAGGAAGGGTGGGATCTATGCTGGGCGGAAGTGCTGGAACCACGGGAGAAGGTGCCCCCACTGGTCAGGGGCCTGGTCACAGCATTAGCCAATATCACCCTATTGGAAGCTGTTTCCTGTTAGCATCATTCAGACCGCAAGCTGAAGGACGTTTGACCACAGCTTAGAAGCGGCCAGCATCTTAACTGGGCTCAGTGGGCACCATACTCGCTGTGCAGGATCTGAGTTCAGATTCCCAGCACCCACATAACAGCCAGTCATGGACTCTGTCTTCTGTAACCTCAGCACTGCGGTAGAGACAGGCAGACCCCTAGAGAGTCTAGGAACAGGCTCCAGACTCAGTGAGGGACTCTGTCTCAAAAACTAAGGTGGCGAGGGATGGATGAGATCACGTGACATTGACTTCTAACCTCTACACACATGCACACAAGACTGCACAGGCATACAATCATAATACACACACACACACACACCATCACCACCACCAACAACAACAAAGAAGACTGTCAGAGAATGGTTGCCCTGGCCACATTTGCAGGTTAAGGGAATCTGAAGAGACAAGACAGCCAGAAGCAGTGTGTGAGACTGGACTGGCTGCTAAACGCACGGATGAACTGGGGCGGGGGACTCTAGATTATATAACAGATCGGCAAGGTCACTGTTAGTTTCCTGACATTAATGATGTGTGTGCACTTAGTCTCCGTGGGGGCAGGGATAAGGTGCAGGTGTCTGCACAGAAAGAGAACAGCCAGCAAATGCGGAGAATGTTAGCATTTGCCTGAACTAGGCACAGCTGGAGTTCTTCAAAAGTCTGCAACTTTTCCATAGATTTGAAGCAATTTTGAGATCCACTCACCAGTAACCCCCGGCATCCTAAATAATCCCCAAACAGCAGATCTATGCACCTGGCTACAGCCCATTTCCTGCCTGCCTGTTCTGTTCACACAGCGTTCAAAACCTCTCTATTTCCTTTCTAACACCATAGCCGAGTTCATTGCTTTATTCCCCTGGCACAAATCTCTTTCCTTTTTCCTAAGCCAAAGACTGAAGGTTCCCATGATCCCGTGAGATTTTGTATGAGACAGAGCATCAGCATCGCTCCAGTCAGGGTGAGAATTTGGTCCTCACTGCTGCTTCCCCCTGTGTGTTTAAGGGAGAAGGAAGGAAAAGCCGCTCATGGTCCTCTTTTAACTCCGTCTGCTCCTTTTCAGATGTTTTTGTTGTCATATGTTCATTGTGCACAATCATGGGTCTTGTCACATTTTCACGCGTGTACGTAATTATTTCAGTCACAGCCAAGTCTTGTCACCCTCCCCGTTCCCTTCCACTCCTGAAGGTCCACTCCCTCTTCCCACCTGACCTCCCCTTCTTCTTCCGTGGTTTTTGTCCCTGGAGAGGGGTAAAATCCGAGGAGTTTCATTAGGGCTTCTTACAGGAGCATGAGCAACTTACCAGCGCCAGCCGGATACATGACTAGGGAAGTGTCTCTCTTCCCTATTAACCATTAACTACATAAGTCCTAGCGAGGGGTGGGGCCCCATGAAAACTCGTTTTTTAAATCATAACAACAAATAAAACAAGAAATGGGACCTGGGGGAGAAACCACCAGCACCATTGATCTCTCCGCAACAGCAAAGATGACAAACAAGAAAATCCGAGTATCTTTCCCTGGGGCAGCAAACCCAGATATTTGGAAGGATGGTTCTGAGGTGCCTCTGCCCAGGCCAGAGTAAAACGGCTGTTCTTTCTCTCTTGGGCTAGCTCTGTTCTTTTTCCTCCTCCCATCCCCAGCTACCATCATGGCTGGCTTCCCCTGAAACCCTTGGGGATGTATGCCCTTGCCGCGTGAGCCTTGGGAATCCTTACCTGCAGGTAGCGGCTACTGCATAAGAGAGAATCCCGTGGGCACGCGGCTCTTGTGGAACTGGGCTACCTCAATACATGCAGAATATATAGGGAGAGGTTGCGCTGTCTGGGTTTTCATTACAGAGGTGTTTTTGATGGTCCTCAGCCAAGTTGTACTTTACAACAAAAGCCACACAAAGGCTGCACAAAGGCCACACAGCGTTTAAACAAAAGGCTAAAGAGAGACCAAACAAAAGCTAAAGAAAGTTGAAACAAAGAGCAAAAGAGAGAGAGAACAAAGGCTCAACAAAGACAGGGACAAAGGCCAACAAAGAGTAAAAGAAAAATCTGAACAAAAGCTAAAGCCACATCACGCATCCCTGTGCGCACCCCACATCCACCCTGCAGCCCATGCTCACTCCAGCATCCCACCACACAGTCAACACCCACGCAAAGCCTCCCTCCTCGCCAAGGCTGGCTCCTCGCCGCTCTACCCACAGCAGGTCGCACGTGCCCGTCCCTCCGGACCACACAGCTGCTCATCTCACAGAATGGCCGTGAGCCCACTCTGCTGGAGCCATGGAGAGACATGCTCACATCTTTCCACAGTGTCAAACTGCCTTAACGAAACGTTGCCATGCTTTATCGGTGCTGTTGGCTGCAATTGGCTGAGTAATCTTGACTTCCCTTGATAGCCGGCTACATAGCAAACTCGGGGGTTTTTTAATGCCAAATTTAATGACCAGTATTAACTCTCAGCTCAAACACTACACACCACACTGTAAACTATGTATCTATGCAGGTTGTAGAATGACTCCCAAAGGGTTCAAGCCAAAGAGGCCCCACTCTAGGGAAAGCTGAGAATGACAGAATTGTTATAGTGTATTCCAGTCTCCTTCCACAGCTAATAGAACTCTCTGAGAAAAAGGCAGTGGGGAGGGGGTGTGATTTTAGCTTAAACATCCAGGTCATAATCCATCAAGAGGGAAGTCAGGGCAGACACTCAAACAAGAACTTGAGGCAGAGATCATAAAAGATTATTGCTTGTCCTAGGTTCATGCCCAGCTAGCTCTCTTACATAGCACAGGGCCGCCTACATAGGGGACAGTGCTGCCCACAGTGGCAAGGCTCTCTCTCCTACATCACTAACAATCGAGGGAATCCTCCACAGACATGTCCATAGACCAGTCTGATCTAGGTGGACCCCAGTTGAACCTCCCTTCTCAAGTGATTCTAGGTGTGTCAAATCGCCAGACAAAGATTCTAGGACAAGGTGGTCAGATACGCAGCAAGGACTTCAGGTGAAGAGCGTCCAGAGATCTGGAAAGTCAGGTGCAGGGCAGAGCAGCTGACGCTTGGGACCATGGAGGTGAGGGTGAGTTGGAAGGATGGGTGAATAGATTGATGTTCAGATGATGAACAGGCAGATGGTGGCACTGGGGAACATATTAAACTGAAACCCTGTGTATAAAGCCAGGGATGCCTGTGTGTGTGTGTGTGTGTGTGTGTGTGTGTGTGTGTGTGTGTGTGTGTAAGAGAATCTACTCAGAGTTTGAAGACAGGAACTGGCGAGTGTGACTCTCGTTTTGACATGGCCTGGACCGTGTGGGACAAGCTGTGTTGTGCCAGGCAGCATGCTTACCGTGGCATGGGGCCATGTTGGGGGTCTGTGGTTTGTGTGCAGATCGGGCTGTGCCCTGCCCTAAGTCACTCCACACTGTGTGAGACCCTGGTGGCTCCGCTTTACCTGTGGCGTCTGGTTCGTCTGAGTGCAAACACGGAGACAGATGCTGTGCACAGACACACCACCTGTCCAGTCTCAGCTATGTGGTGCAGATGTCTGAATATCTCAAAGCCCACCACCACAGTGACACCCTTCCTCCAAGGTCGTACCCACTCCAACAAAGCCACACCTCCCAGTAGAGTCACTCCCTATGAGTGCATGGGCGCATTACATTTGAACTACCACGGTAGGTGTGTCTATTTATTTATTTGAAGCTGAGATAATAGAGGAACGCTGCTTGCTTGCTGCCTCACTGCCAGGCTCATGCTCAGCTTTCTTTTTTTCCTTTTTTATTTTTATTTTATTTTTCTAGACAGGGTTTCTCTGTGTAACTTTTGGAGTCTCTCCTGGGACTCTCTCTGCAGACCAAGAACTCACAGAGATCCACCTGTCTCTGCCTCCCAAGTGCTAGGATTAAAGGTGTGCACCACCACTGCCCGGCCTTCAGCTAACTTTCTTATACAGCTCAGAACCACCTACCTAGGGAATGGTGCTGCCCACAGTGGCTAGGCCCACCTATATCAATTAACAACCACAGGAAATCTCCCACAGATATGCCTCAGGCCATTCTGATCTGGGCTGTACCTCAATTGAGACTCCTTCCTCAGATGATTCCTGGCTGCGTTAAAACGACTAAGCTAACTAGAACAAGGTAAGGTTACTATACGTGTGGCAACCAGAGACACATGTACCTCCCACATGCACACAGAATAAATAAATAATATACTGGTGGTTTTATTGTTATCTTTAAATTTGCATTTATTTATTTTTGCTGTTTAGACAGAGTCTCATTACGTAGTGTTGGCTGCCTTGGAACATGCCATATTGACCAGGCTAGCCTGGAACTCACAGAGATCCACCTGCTTCTGCCCCCTGAGTGCTGACGTTAAAGGTGTTCACCACCACACCCAGCTTGTAATTTAAATTTTTAAAGTTGTCTTATGATTTAAAGGGAGTCTACCACTGTACTGCCCTGACTGAGTCCTGTCTCATCAGGTGGAAATAGATAAAAATACAGGCAACACTGATACATATGTTTTGCTGTATAAACATGAAAAGCGAGCATTTTGTTTTATAAACAGCTCTCGGGCCTTTGTAGTTATGGGGGTAACAATGATAATGAACTGACTGTTCGGATCTGGGAGAAACAAGCGCAAGTCTCTCCTCATTTGCCCCCAGTCTTTGCTTCAGGCCTAAGTCTGACCCATCCACAGTTCTGACCTCGCCTAAAGGTTCCCTGCCTCTTGGGTCTCTGACTTGGGTGGTAAATAGAGGACTCTGATGCCAGCTGGGCTGCCAGTCACTCACACAAAGCTCCTGTGTGTCCCCAAGCTCTATGCCCAGCATCACTATCTGCCTCCCCATCTTCTGCGAGGGCCCAGTCACAATTGTTTCTGGGCAGCGATGACAGATATGAGAGTGGACTCCATGTTCCCTAAGCAAGGGACTGTGTTTTGCTGTGTTAGAAGTCTCTTGACTTTATACCCAGTTCAGGGGTTGTCTTTATTCCCTACCACACTGGAGGAAAAACTGGGAGTGGAAGGCACTGTGCAAGGGTTCTAGCAACATGAAAGAGCCGGAGCAAGGCTACGCCTGGGCGACATCAGCTTGCTACGGAGATTCTGGCTGCCGGTGTCTGCTGTCTAGGGAGACCCCTGTGTTCTAACCTTGTGCTTACGAAGCAGTGAGCATCTGCTGGGTGTTTCCAGAGTGCCTAGAGGAGCTCCAATGTCCCCATGGGTAAAGATGCTTGGGACAAGCCTGACAAACTAAGTCAGCCGCACAGCCCACATGGTCAGGGAAGAACTAGACCCCACAAACTGTCCTCTTACCTCTACACTGTATAGCATGGTGCACACAGAAGGAGAGAGAGGGAGAGAGAGATGGGGGACAGAGCACACACAAAGAGAGACATATACATACACAGACAAACACAGAGACACAGACAACACAGACTACATAGCACACACACACAGAGGTGCAACAGATCAGACTTGGGAGCAGTTGGGAGAAGGATGAGGAAGATTAGCAGGCGGCGGGGGGAGGAGAAGAGAAGGCAATTGGAGAGTAGGATCACACAGCACATTATATACAGGAAAGAACAGTCAAAATAGAAACTGAGGTCCTCTACTGTGCTACCGCACACTGCGAAGTGTGCTGGGCCACCAAACTCCTACAAGCAGATTTCCCCAGGAAAGCAGGGAAACGGCCCGTGCTCACACGCAGGACCTCTGATTTGTGGCCCTTACTCATGCATGTTTGGACTGTGTAGTTGACACAACTAATACTCACCTGAGAAGGGAATTTTAACTGAGGGTCTGCCCAGATCACTTGACCTGTGTGTGTGTGTGTGTGTGTGTGTGTGTGTGTGTGTGTGTGTGGTGATTGTCTGGACTGCTAACTGACCCAGCCTTTGCGGACAGCTCCAGGTCCTGGGCTGCATAATCACGGGGCCACGGGCAGCACAGGTGCACCCGTTCCTCTAAGCTGACTGTGGATTCGATGTGGCAAACTGTCTCCTGCACCTGTGATTTCCCTAGGTATGGGACAGTAACCAGAAAGAGGAAAGCCCTTTCGCCCGTGTGGCTTTTACTCTTTTGTTGTTGTTTTGTTTGTTTTTTAATCGTGGTCACAAAAATCAGACTTTAAACTCCTGCCTCAGCTGTGATTACAGGCTTGTGCCTCCAAGTTCACCAGAAAAAGACTTCGTTCCAGTTAGGAAGGTCTGTGCTGGCAACCACTGTGTTGCGCTGCCCCCTAGTGGCCATGCTGAGTCAGTATCAACAATTGAAGGGCTACTCCATTCCAGCGGCTCATCCTGGATTGACCCCGCAGCTTCCTTGTGGCCTTGGAGGGCTGTGGCATTAACCAATACAGTTGCCAGATCCTACCAGGTCCCCAGCAGGTGGCTGCCAGGCTGACAGAGATAAGAAACTATCCAGAATCTGGGTCAAGTCCATTTATGTTTCTGTTCCCTGTTTCCCTTCCAGTTCACTGACTGTCCAAGAGTTTTCTTAAGTGACAGAATTGTTCCTAGTCACTGCATCCAAGTACTCAGGATGAGCTGGGCATGGTGATGTTCACCTACCGTCCCAGTATGCTGGGGGCAGAGCCAGGAGGTCTCAGTGAGTTCAGTGCCAGCCTGATCTGCATAGAAGTTCCTGGCCATCCAGGGCTACATAGTGAGACCCTGTATCAAAAACAAAACAACAAAGCCAGGCAGTGGTGGTGCACACCTTTAATCCCAGCACTCAGTGTTAAATTAGGAGTTTAGGCCCCAGCCCCCTTACATCTATCCTAGCCCCCTGACCCTGAGAGCACTCTGGACTCCAAATCCCAGCAGGCCAGGTCCTGACCCCTCCCTGGGGG